CCCCAAAACCCCAAAACCCCAAAACCCCAAAACCCCTTTCCTTCAGATAATTATTGAGAAAGGGTCAAATAACTTTTATTATATTTAAACTCCGATAATGTCAATTGCAAAACTGCATTGATTTGCTCCAGTAATTCGAAGGAAGACTCCACGATCATCAAACAGAAATCCTGTTAAACTTGCAGAATATCATTCCCTGACTCAGGGGATCACTAATTCATCTCAAATAAGATATCCCATGCCGATTCAAAATATAAGTTCTATAAAGATAACGTTGAGCAGTCGAAAAGAGGCAAAGCCACCCTTAAAGAGGACAATGGATTGTCCTAAAGAGCCCAGAATCTCCTCACTCAAGGCAAAGCCCAACTGAGACAGCATCAGAAGTAGAAGTAATATTAAAGAACCTCAGGTCTGAGTTAGCGATGCAGGTAAAATTTTGCTCTTTAAAAGAGATCTAAAATCTTGCATTTAGGCCAAAATTTACAGAAAATGAACTCAGATCTAGACATCGTTAAACCATCTAATAAGATCAAGATCAGGTCTGATCCAGAAAGAAGAAATATTATCCAAAGAGAATACATGCCAGTACCTAAAAAGAGGAAACTTTTAAAGATGGAAAATAGGACTCATAACTTTATCTCTCAACTCCCTCTAGAAACTCCGGCCATCACTCAGCAAGACTATTGAGATGTTGAAGACAATATCTTAGCAATCTTGAAGAAATCTGATGAAAAATAGAAAGAAAAAGATAAAACACATCAGAACTCTTGAAATGATAAAACAAGAGACCTGCAAATATTCCAATCTTAGGCTTAAAAGAGAAAAGGAGAGAAATAATTCTACCTCGGTCATGAGCAATAAGTCCGATTCGCTCCTGTCACCTAGAAGAAGTTATACTTCAAACCAGAATGAAGTATCTACTAATCATTCGTATCAGAATAAATCAGACAAGAAGGAGGTAAAAGAAATTTAAACTTTATATAGAATCAGAGAGTACATTGTGGCCAAGACCTTGACAACTTATTACTGATTCTAGTTCAAAACAATAGGAGTTTCTCTTCCTAAATATCTTAAAAGCTTTAAGAAGAAGCCTTTCAGCTGGAGACAAACACAGAAGGGTCAGAGTAATAGCTCGAAGCAGCTTAAAGAAAAATGAAGTAAGAAGCTGGTCAATCATATATTGTTTCTAATAATTCCTATTTTCTTATTTATTTTGTAGATATGTTTTATAAGAACAATCCTCAAAAAAATTAAAACTACAAAAAAAAGACAACACAGCCACAGTGCAATAAAAATATATGGAAATAAGAACTCTACTAATTTAACAAACAAAAAGATTATGGATAAGATTAAATCGAAAAATATCTTCCAGTTTCAAAAGAACCTTGGCAATAGCTATAACCAAATAGGCACAGAGGATGGGTCTAATCCCACAGCTGATGACAAGGATAATATAAGATCCAGTGGTGATTCACCAATCAAGAACTTAATGCCAAAGATATCTTCTTACAATACCCAGAATATCTTCCAAAGAGACCCGAATTATATCGACCACGGGGTAAGAGGTTTGTATCTAACATATAGAATTACCAGAATGTGAGGTTGCCATCCCTTAAGTAAATAATCAATTTTATGCTCAAAACCGGGGTTTTGGGGTTTTGGGGTTTTGGGGTTTTGGGG